CGAAAGCGTGTAATAATTTCTGGGATGTCTACCTCAACAGAGGGCAGCAGAGGATTCCTCGTGGTCTGTTATAGATTGGGATGCTCAGGCTGTCATAGACCTCGGAGTATCCTCCGTCGGTTTTAGTGAAGACGTACTGAGCTCCAGTTTAGCATTAGATAGAAATTACTCTTACAACAACTTCAAGCATAAAATGAATCAACAAAAGCTGACCATATCCCTAGATTACTTTCATAAAAAGTGAATTGTAAGAAGTATATAATGATATGTTCTCAAGAGATTCAGCTAAATCCCGTTATTCTTCGTATCAAGAATGATGTAGCCAATCTATTTTAATGTCCATCTGCGTGTACGTAAGCGAATGCATGTGCTGTATGCATATATATATATATATATGTGTGTGTGTGTGTGTATTTGTGTGTGCACCAAAACAAGTAAAGGACAAATAATTATAAGGTGTTGTATCAGGACAGTTTTCTGAAATTATGAAAATCTTGGACGGCTTGATAAATAGAATAGGCATAATAAAGGTAAATATTCATAAAAATAAAAATATTAGATATTTGAAACATTCTATACCTCTTAAAGCTACCTTTGTCGAAATATATGTAACATGTAGTGACAACTTGTTAGTTAATTGTTACAAAGAAGCCTGAAGCTTCAAATTAAATGACTTAGCCTGAAAGCTTTATAAAGTCAAATTACAGCAGATCATGGAGAATAGACCACCATCTAGAGGTGAGTTCAACTTATTCTCAGTCCTCGAAGCATTTGATTGGGCACCTCACAATTGGTGGTCTTTTCGCCCGAGCGATTCACAAGCAAGCTTACGTGTAGGAGGATGCAGTACAGATAAAGAAATTTCGACAACAATATTTTCTTGAATCCAAGGCTTGCTTATACATTGAAGGTTAATAAATAGCCCTAAGATGGCTTACGTGGCATCCTTTTCATGATATTTGAGCTCAACCCCCACGCTGCGCAACATCGTGGGTTCGCCAGAGACACCCAAGCGCTTACGCATGTGTGGCTCGGCTAGAAGAAGTCCCGGTGGTGGCATAAAGTTATGCAAATGCTGTTGCTGTTTTTGCTGAAGAGTGCCATGTCCACCGGAGTCACCAGCTCCAAAGCCAACACTTCCAGATCCAGCAGAGCCAGAGCTTATGTTGTTAGGATGGCTTGATTCAGCCAGACCAAGACGTGTGAATGGAAATGCCAATGGGGAACTCGGATCAGGGTTAGCGTCCGCGCCAGGCAGATCAGCTTGGTTTATTTCATCCGAAGTAGGCGAACTGGAATGGTGCTGGAAATGCACGAGTGCGTGTGCATCGAGTTAATGAAGGATCAGATCGGAAATTCAAGGACATAGATGATGACGGTAGTAATTCAGAGATATTATGGTTTTGTGTTCTTCAGTTACCTTGGTTGTTAATTGCATGCATACCTAACTCGCTCCTATCAAAACTTCAGTCTCCTTAGGCCAGATAAGATTATTCCTGATTGATAGTTGAATTTATCAAACAATGATACAAAAGACCTCAGGATGCTATTGAATTATCTTAAATCCCAAAAATGTTGTCTCATCCAAAATGCACCGCAGTTTAGACCTCTCCTAAATAGTATTCGAAGTGGTTAACCTTACCACTTCAACAAAATGTCACGTATTCCAGTGGGTCATTGGGTAGATGTGACTTATGAGGCAAGTCAGGCATCCCCAAATTTGCATTCCACAATTCACAAATCCGTTACATATCTTATGCGATCTGAGGTTACTCAAATTCCTATTTAATATTAACAGATCGTTATGAATTCCTCAAAATACTTAGATTCCTACTTGTTCTTGCTTGGCTTCGAAGAAAATAAGGACAGCACCATCTGGGCGACTACAGTTTAGATTACTGGGTTTAAATAAGTCGAAAATTGTTATAGGATAGTTATGGTCGCTAATGCAACGTAAACTGAGCGAGAAGACATTTATGTTGGGGTGAAGGCTGAATAAAGTGAAGCGCGGAGAGCCAAGCTTTCTCTACAATTCATTGAAGTTGTATTAGGCATAATTTTCCACATTTTGTGTGCACATTGCTAGCGAAGTCATCTGATAAATGAGAAATGTCACAGAGTCTGAGATAGCATTCCGCTTCAAGATATCCCTATATAATTCATGCTGAGTTTTCGTCTGTCTTGTGGCAGGCGAATATATCCAGTATTCGTAGATTCACTATCATCTAGTGCCAAGTAAGGGGTACTCTAATAGCAAGAATCTCAGCGATAGCCAGTTCCTATCACTGGAGCTATCTCAAATATCAGAACTATAATAAACTGTAGTGGTAAAA